TAAGAAATTATAATCCTTATCCACAAAGGAATTGGATATGTGACTCATAAATAGACACTTAGGCTTAGGCTATTGCTGAGAGTTATGAGTTGAGAGAGATGTAGTTTCATGAGGGAGTACGTTAATGGTAGGGGTGAGTTACGGGTTTGGTAGAGTGAATACTGATGGAGAGAGGAAGTCTCGTGGAGTACACGGAGAACTCGGTCAAGAGTTTGTGTACATTGTCCGGTATTGAAATTCTCTACTATTGTAATATCTCTGCATATATATAGTAAATCTCTTCTCATCCGTGGATGTAACTCTAATTTTGGATGAACTACGTATATATCTTATGTTGTGGTTTGAATTGTTGTTTTCTTTTGCTTCCGTTGTGTCCCAACAAATCTTGAATCTTGCTCTTCCTCTCCCTCCAAAACATTAACGTTTCCAAGTGGGGGAACATTCTAAAACACCGAACAATTTAAATACGATCACCTGCCAACTAACAATTGAATCATACAAAACTCTCACCCATAAACTGAGTGCATGAACATGGTCATTATTGGGACAAGCCACACAGAAAGATCAATGAAATGACATTTTATGAAGCCTATGTTCTACCCTTAAAGATCTTCTTAAAAACCATACAATGCTCCTACTAGATACCTTGAATGTCCAGTTCAAGTATTCAGAATTAGTTGTCTCATTTTAACTAATAGCAGAAGATTCAAAGGCATGTGTCCATACATATGCAAACAATCACTTAAAAGATCTTGTTATTTAGGATATAAAGGATAGCCAAATGATTGGTTGTTATTAAACGAAAAAGAAAGGTAATCCTTTGTAAGTAACCGGACATTAAAGTTCAATGAGAGAAAAGATTACTGAGAACAAGATGCTAAAGAATTGTTTTTCACTCCTGAAGTGCAGTATTTTCCAAAGAAAACGCTCCAAAGAGACAAGAAAAAAACATTGACTTAGCACTGGCGCTTTCCCGACAATGACAACAGGAAACAGTATATGAGGAAATGAGAGACTCAATGCCAACGTTAGTATCAATGTCGGCTGTGGGCGTGTGGTACCCCTAAGATGCCTTGAAATAATCATTGAATTCCCATCTTTAATTCCTACACAAATCTAGCCTAGCAATCCTAGCATGGTCCTCAATAACTTGGATCTTTAGGACATCATTGGCCGAAAGGAAGAACAGTTGATTGGTGACACTCAAAACTCCACATCAAGTTGTTACACTCGATATGAAATTTTTGCACTTTTTTTGCTTGGCTCATGTCCAACTGAGTATCATCATATCTTATCCAACTTACTTAAGCCACACATGAGTTATCAACTTAAGAAGCTATTCTGTATGGCTTCAGAATTCCTGAAAATCACGGACAGAGGTGTATGATCTTCATTCATAGGCTGTAATCCTCCATCTCATTCCCTACTAATCACAGACACAGGTGTATGATCCTCATTCGTAGGCTGTAATCCCCCATCTCATTCCCTACTAAGTACAATATGTTTAGCGAAATCCATGATCAATGTAATGCCCTTGGACCACTAAGTCCTAGGTCACTCAACTTGGAAGCAGGACCACTGGAGAAGAAAACCCCGATGAAGGCAGTGAAAGGAATCTGCATATGTCACTTTCTATACGAGATACTGGATGATAAAGATTCTAAATAATAGTGGAGAGGTGCATCCCTAATCTCAAAGCTTCACTTTTTACGTACAGATTCTAAAAGGTTACAGGTAACTATCAACTAATGAGTAATGATCATTGGCAGCCCCAGTGGCATGTGGTAGATACCTTACCGACAAGACTCGTGCAACTCCACACGTCCAAATTTTCAAAAAAATCACAATATATAGTTCAACAAACAATAATAGTCAAGGCTAGTGTTTAGTGAGAAATTCTATCTCGTAATGTATATATTACGAAAATGAAAAGAAATGGCAAAATGACATGAAATCATGTGAAGGAAAATCATACTTATAGTTAATTAGATGATAAGATGAAGGAAAGGTCAGTTTAAGTAGCTGTAACTTTCAAGTAATGATTATCGGCAGCCCCATTAGCATGTGGTCGATATCTCACCAACAAGACTCACGCAACTTGATTGTATTGACCACGCATCCAATTTTTCCGAAAATTCGTAATAGTTCAACTAAGAAGCATAGTAATAGCTTGCGTTTAGTGAGAAATTCTATCTGGTAATGTGTATATAAGATAATGATAAGAAATGGCAAAATGACATGAAATCTTGTGAAGGAACATCTATCTCTCTTATAGTTAATTAAGTGATAAGATGATGAAAGATCAGATTAAGTGCCATTTAAGCATGCCATATTAAATACATACCAAGTTATTTAGATTCACTTTATTCAATTTTCTTTCAGAAACTAAAACTATTCCAAGTGAGTCCAGATTAGCACAACATAGCAGTCCTTTTTCCCAGCTTAGCCAGATTAAAAGATTCAAAAACATTGGCATAATCACTGTTTATAAGAAAGAACATCATGCATTTCCCTACTACAGAAAGCTTTCCTACACGTCGTTCCAATTCTTTTTAGTATCTCTCTCTTTTTCTTTTTCTTTTTAATATCAAGTTTTCAAGAATTGTTTTGGGGATTTTAGAATATGTGGAATCTCAAGATTTTATCCAACATAGGCCCATAGGTTGGGGCTACTCTAGCCCACTTGCAGTCGAAAGCCATATGCTATCGCACCGTCAACCTCAAAAAGATGATACTCTAGGAATTCAATATAATTTTATTTACGTGATAGAAAGAATGCAATGAACCTAGATATTTATGTTCCTAAAAGTATGTCCTGTCCTCGATTGAGAAATGTCTTAATCGAGCACCAAGTCATTCATATATGATTTATTCTAGCTGCTTTCCTAGAAAGTTCGTCAGGCATTAATGCATTATATGGTCTTGTTAGCTAAAGCAGACAACTATAAGCTTCAGTAAGCATGTCATGTAGCACTGATATCGTATTTAAATAGCAAACAACTGGGCTAGCATGGGGAGAGCCTCTTGCAATCTTCATATATATGACTAATGGAAGGCTCGTTTTCTCATTGAATCAGCCAATGACGAGAGATGGTTTTCTTAAGCAAGTTCGTATTAGGATCCATGATTAGCAAAAGAAAGGTTAAAGACCCAGTCAGAAGGCATGAAACACACTAACCACCAGATGATCCCTAAAATGAGGCCTCCACTAGAAAAATCCAAGGCAAAAGTAAAAAGGAGAGGAGGGTAAAACAACCCAAGTGGACCAAAAAAGATTCTATTACAAGATTATGTATCAGCTGCCCATAACTGACCTGATATCAGCAAACATATAATGTAGATCTTCACCATAAACAAGTAAAATAGGTAAAAAAGATGTATGGGCCAATCCAAGCTCAACCATATGTTTACAAAGAAATGCAAAAGGCCAAAATACTTTTTTTTTTTTCTTGCGAAATGACCAAAAGCATCGTTCCATTTATGGTTCCAACCCCATGGTGAACAAAATTCAAAGCAAGCACAACTATGTTTACAGCCCCAACACGCCATCATGAAGTAACAGCTAACAACAAAGAAAACAAATCATCTACAGATTTTCCTGTGTATGTTGTTTTTACTGACGTGTTTTTAATCTGTTCGACACAATAAAGACCAAGTCCTATCTGTTGTCATAAATAAATCATTGACCACTATTACGTATTCCCATTTTAACATTTTACTCAAACCTGGTAATTCATACCCCAATCCACACTCAAGACCAGTAAGAGGGCTCTCATTAAACTATGATGATAGCAGATCTTACACAGATAAGAAAGAAATTTCATGTTCAGAGGCATTATTGCATAAGAGACATAGAAAGTGTGTTGCATGTTCAGAAAAAATTTCCAGGTGAACAAACACCAATCTGAGAGAGAACTAATAATCCTAGCTAAAAAACACAAGATTCAGTGAAGGGTCCCGCATGGCAAAGAGTAGATAACATGTATTCACCTTTTCTTGCACAAAAACATAAACATAATCATTGTACGGACTCAGCTGGCCAGCTAAAAAGCTTGTAATGTTGTTCAGGACAAAGTACAGACAGGCATAAGATCATCTCTAAAGAAGAAGGCTATCTTTGCCTCTGAACTCCAAAACGAATAAAACCGGATTGCGGCAAACTCGTGAAAGCTTTCGTACGGCCATTGGATTTGGGCCCACCCAATATCAAGGAAAGGAAGGGATTTTCTGCGGACTATAAATCAAATGAAATCTGAATAATCTTTTTATATTTCGATTGAAAGAAACCTTCTAGAGATTAGTATTCCATTGATTCTCATATGACTTTATAAGGTAGGTTCCAATGGATTTTAAATATAACTAATTTATTATCTAAACTAGTTCAAAGTTTGAACTAATTTTTTTTGGATTTAAAATCCAAGGCACAAATTCAGTGCTCTCAACGCAATGTCATATAAAAATCGGTAGATTTCCTCTCAATTCAGATGATCCACAAGATGGGATTTCATGATTGCATGGATCAAGAGAATTATTTCATGGAGGGTGCTATTTTCCTAACATGTTTTTTCTTTTAGTGGCATGCTTATCCTCTAAAGTTTTGCCAGTTACCTAATTATCCAATAATTGGGCAATTGCAATAAACCCAACCACGTGAACAGAATACTAATTTCATATACTAAACACTACCTAAACAAGAGGAATACGAAAACAAAACTCTAGGAAGTTTCTTTTGTGGGTTTATCATCTGTAACTTCTGCTTTCATAACTTTTAAAAGTGTGTTTTTAGCTTGATAAGGTAAATTCTAACTGATATTTTCTTACAAGTAAAAAAATTAAAGTTCTTGGAGATACTGATTCCTCTACCCTGTTGTTGTTCTTTGTCCTCCATTTTGTGGTTAGACAAATCATAAAAAAAATCTATAATTTTCCTAATTTTTTATACGGCAACTGGCATGACCCCACCTCACCCCTCCATGGAGCTTATAAAGAGCAGCCATTGCCACCTCTTTACACATATCAGCCCTTGACTAGAGTTCATCTGTTGACTCTCTCTCCCTCCTCCTCCTCACTGTTCCTTTGCCTTTTAGCTATTCCTTTCCATTTCCTTCTCTTTTCACCTTGAATTCATCGATTCTCCTAGCTAGACCATCCCAAACAGCTGATTCTTATAATCACCCTAAATTGTTCCATTTCTTCCTTGTTTTCCTTTCCTTCCTTGCATTAAAAACTCCAGAAAAGAAATGGCATCCAGCTCAATGTCCTCCCGCAGCTGGACTGCTGAGCAGAACAAAGCCTTCGAGAAGGCTCTGGCTGTGTATGACAAGGACACCCCTGACCGTTGGCACAATGTCGCCAGGGCCGTTGGAGGGAAAACCGCGGAGGAAGTGAAGAAGCATTATGAAGTCCTTGTGGAGGACGTCAAGCATATCGAGAACGGCCAAGTGCCCTTCCCCAAGTATCGAGGTAGTATACTCGAAAAGTCTCTCACGTAGATGAACAAAAGTGACCCCATGAGTCATGACATATAACTATCACCTCATATGTTGATTTCTCATTTCATTATCATGCTTCACCCTCCTAACATTTCTAAACTAGTAAATTCATAACAAAAAAAAGTCTCTGCTGGTGTTGTTATTAATCAGGAACCACCATCAACCACAAGTATAGGTAGCTAAAGCTACAAGATATTGCTACTCTTAGCATCAATTTTTGAGTTCTTTCTCGTGTGCATAAGGCTATCTCCATCTACTATTCTAGGAAACACTAAGCTCAACAAATCATTTTGAATCAGATACATCTATCATGCCTTTTCATTCTATTTTATCTAGATGCTTCGAGCAAACACTCTGTTACAATGAAGACTAATGTTAGACAATTGAAAATAACACCTCAACAAAATCAGGCCTATCAAGACATTTTTGACTTCTCTTCTAATTTAGGCACCACCCATGGGTTCTCTATATGTCATATTGTTCACGTTGCTATAGTATTCATGATGTTAACATTTATTGCTTATTTAGTAATTAATACATGTGTTCTTACTGTTATTTTGTCCCTTGATTTTATCTATACACCCAACACTGCCCATTAATCTTAAATTATAGATTAAACCACATGTATCATTGATATGATACAATCAATATAAATCTATATACTTACATGTAAATATGAAAATACAAATATCATATCATTGTTAGTATCCTCAGTCACTTGCTCTTAATTTTTTATTTTATTTTTTTCCATGCAGGATGAAAAACTCTGAAGGTCCTTTTAAGTACGACCTTGAAGTGGATGTAATAAAGATGCATTGCTCTTCTCCTCCTAAGATTATATATGGATATAGTACTTAAAGAATCGCAGCTAGTGATTCCTCCGTTTATTATCGTTGTTTTTGTGCTAATTATCGTCTAATTAGTTTCTGAAATTTGTATTTGTGATCCAAGGAACATAAAACGAAGCTGTGCTTTGTGCTTCTATTATGTCCAGTGTAATGAATTGTTCTATATGAATTGAAATTGTGTATTTATGTGTTTTGTTTAGCAAGATTTGCAATCTTCTTCTTGAACAATTCAAAATGAGAATGCAAACTGAAATCCAAGTTTAAACAAAGAAGCAAGCTGAAATAACAGATTCAATCTAGGGTTTTAGAGATCTCTGACCTCAGGAATCAGCGTTTAGACCTTCAGATCCTCCTGAATCGTGAGAAATCCGAGCTTAGTGATATCAAGTACCAACAGAAGCACTTCCAAGTGTGTGTCTGTGTGAGAGAGACAGAGTTAGAGAGAGAGACACTGCGAAAGCAAAAGGGGAAGCAAAATGAAAAAGCGGGAAATTGTTTTATTTGAAAATTTTACCCAATTACTGCATATTGTAACTGCCTCCTAAAATAGGGGATGAGTAGAGGTGGTTTGTTCGTAGTAATGGATACATCTATAGTGCAACTCCTACTTCCCACAAATCTAGCCATAAAAGATTATTTTTTCTTTAATCAATAGTTTGGATTTATTCTGGTTCAATTCACTTGTTATTTATATATTTATTTGGAGAATTAGGGCTCAGACAAATCATCTTAAATCCTCTTTATCTTGTTACAAGATTCTAAATTGTAATTGCAATTCTCAAAAGTGTGGTGGACGGTGAAAGGAAAGAGATACCGTTACTAGGTAATTATTAAATAAATATTTTGAATTCCAAACTTCAAAACTGAACGTAAAACACAATCGGGGCTGGTAGACCTCACACCACCAACAATTGTTTACTTAGAATTTAAAAATTCGGAACTATTGAACCGTATAACTAGTTACTAAGTACTACTAAATAAATATTTTGAATTTCAAATTTTAAAATCGAATCTAAATCACGATAGGGACTGGTGAACCTTACTCCACCAATAATTATTTGCTTCAAATTTAGAGATTCAGATTCAATATCATTACTCTATTAATAAAAACACAAGGTTCAATCCCTCAAAAAGAACTAAAAAAAAAAAAAGATATGGTAAAAAAGGGTAATCAGAAATCAACATAAAGAATACATTTTTTTTTATCATGGTAGGCTCACTTTTTTCCATGGACCATTCTACTAGGGACTAAAGAATGTGGACTCTTGTACGTGGAATGTGGTGGTGCTCATTTCTTGATTTCTCTCTACGTTTAGAAAGTTTACTACTACTAGTATTTACTAACAAGGCTATTGTTACCTCATATTTTTTACCCCTCAACTTAAAATAAAAGAGGAATGCTAAACTATTGTCCTTTCACAGTTATTCTTTTTATTGATTACTTTAAATCTCATTAGTTACTCTTTCTCTATTATTAATAAACGTGAAAAATATAATTTACTTTAAAACAAAACTCATCTTTTAAAGACAAACTACCCTTTAAATAATTTTTCATTACCTTTTTCGTATCTCTTCCCTCAATCCATATACGTATAGTATGTATATATTTTTTACTGCCTTTATTTCTTTCTTTTTTATTTCAATTGTCGCCGCTAGTTATTTTCTTCCTTCCTTTTTTCTTTATTTCCCTCCATTTTTTTTTTTCTAAATTGTTGCCATTGGCCTTTTTTTCCGTCCTTCCTTTCATTTTTTTTTTTTCTTATTTTTTCTAAATTTTTTTTTATCTAAATTGTTCTGGTTTAATAACAAATTTGGTGAATATTCCCCTGTTTTTATTTGTTCTGGTTTAAAATTTAATAACAATTTGGTTTAAAATTTTTTTTTTTCTAAATTTGGTGAACATTTCATTGTTTTTATTTGTTCTGGTTTAAAAAAAAAAAATGAAAGGAAGGACAGAAAAAAGGCTAAAGGCAACAACAATTTAGAAAAAAAAAAAAAAAAAGGGAAATAAAGGAAAAAAGAAAGGAAAAAAATAACTAGTGGCGGCAATTGAAATAAAAGAAAAAAAATAAAGGTAATAAAAAACATATATATACTACACGTATATGGATCGAGAGAGGAGATAAAACAAAGGTAATGAAAAAAAAATTAAAGGATTATTTTATCATTAAAAGGCGAGTTTTGTTTTAAAGTATGTTATATTTTTCACCTTCCTTGAGAATAAAAAAAGAATAATTAATAAAATTTTAAATAGCCAATGAGAAGAGCTCTTAAAATAAAAGCAGCCATTCTTAACATTCGTCAAAATAAAATAAAATAATAGAAAGTGGTTCATTCTGGAGAATTCCATTGGAATTTGGACCATACCATTTTAGACATTAATTAAAAAGCTTAGAAGAGCTATAATTGGCAGGCCCAAATCCATGTACCATTCATTAATAGAAAGAATTTACATAAAACGACACATGAAATGACGGGCTCAACATTTGATTATTGCAATTAAATTAATTAATTAATTAAGAATGACCACTTTCAATTAAATTAAATCCTAGGCTCTGTTTGTGTTGCTAATTTTCCGTTCATTTAGGCCTCTAAGTCAAGCTATCAAATTTATAATTTATTACGGTTTTCCGGGCATCGAATAGAGTGAGCCAATCAGAGTACATGGGGTTAGGTGTGGTTTGTTCAACCACCCTCTCGCTACACATAAGATGCACGTGTATACTGTGTTACCCAATTTCAAGTAATATTGGAGTTGTAGTACATGGTTATATTCTAATTTCATTAGCCAATGTTTCGAATAATTGAATCGACTGAGTCTACACAAATTTCCTATTAGATTCCACCGAAAAAAAAAACCGTGAAAAGAGAAGCGAAAGAAACGAAAATAAATTGTTTGCACCCCTATGTGTAAATCTAACAAAATAATTTTCTCACACACTCAGACAGAAAAATACAGATTATTATACCATTCATTTAAATGGATAATTCCAATTTTTTTATTTTTTTTGGTTAGACAAAAAGAAAAAGTAGAATTGTATGTCCAAACATAGTGCAATTTTTAACATCTTTTGTGAGAAATTTGTGAAAAAGTTTGTGTGACTATAAAAATCACTCCGACAAAAAATTTCTTTCAAACTATCCAACCTAGTGAAATGTATTCACACATTTGATCTACCTTAATGAAACTTCTCTGCCTCCATTCCTATCTTATCAAACAAAACAAAGCCCCACGAAATTAATTTCTAAGTGATAGGATTAATGTACTACCTTCGTCCCAAATTACATTTTTGTAAATTACGTTTTTGTGGGTTAATATTTTCAAAATAGGACATTTAATTTGGGATTGAAGGAGTATAATTTCAAGTGGTAGAATTAACTTTTTGATGGGCTGTATATACTTTAGAACAAGTACTATATATATGTATGTGTGTGTGTGTGTGTGTGTGTATATATAAGTATATTCCTGGCCGTATGGCGCATTTCTCAGCCAGATCCCCCTACATGTGGTGGTACAAACATACGGCCAGCACCTCCACTAGAAACTTCCCTATATACCGCTCAGGAGCTGTTTCAGTAAAGACTGATACAGGAGATGAAATGGACGTTTATCAGGAGTTACAAAAGGAGGAGGATGGAAGCGCGGTAAAGGTTTACCAATACCTACATCACACCCAATAACGAAAGATGGAAGTTTGAAGTAGACGGATGTGCCCGCTCAAGGAGCTAGACGCTCTACTAACTAGGTCACGATGTCCTACTTTAGAACAAGTATGGCTAATCAAATAAGTGAACTTAAGCAACACTATAGATCTGTTTGCCTACTTTCAAATAATCAAGCACCACACATTGGTTTACCTGAATGTTTAACAGAGGAAGAAAATCAAAATCCTATTGGCATTCATCTCATGAAGAACACAACTTAACAGGACAAACAATAAAACCATCCCACATACAATTCTACCAAATTAATTTCACAGACATAAAACAACCATCCAATATCTTTGCTTAAATGTAAATCTTGAACAGAAGCATCACAGAACTATAACTTACATGGTTTACTTCCATTTCCAGACAAAGATTCTGCTTGATACATTCCACGACAACATAAACAATCCATATAACAAAATTGATACCACATCTATTCAGTCGTAGATAAGATTGTCATTTTCAGAACTCTTCAAAACTTTACCTTGCCACTAACTAAGCCCCTTTATCTGGGAACATACTCATCCATGATGATCAAACATATGCCATCGCAAAATCTTATTAAGTTCATACATGCCACTAACTAAAGCCCCTTTCTCTGGGAACATACTCATCCATGATAATCAAACATATGCCATCGCAAAATCCTATTAAGTTCATACATGCCTAAAATCGTAAATTATTAGCTCTACATGATGATGCGGTTTTAAACTATGATATCAAGCTATTAAAGAAGCATAGAAGACACTCTAGTCAGATACAGTTGTTTGAAGGGGCAAAGTACTTTCAACTTCCTTGGTGTTGGAACTCCTTTCTGCAACAATTTTTGACATTCCAAACATCTGAAAACACACCGAATATAGTGGATCAGCACTGACAGATTATGCAGTTAAGCAAAAGTTCTGGAAATGGCATGGAAGTTGCAACTAACCTTTTGAATGCTCTTTTTAAAGCAAGTCTTGTGTTCATCCATAGAAGCATGAATAAACTCATCGATGTGGTCCTTTACATCCTCCAAGAAAGTGGCACTTTCCGACTTCTTCTTTCGGCATGAAGTGACCGCCGGACTCGGGGCAGCAGGTGATGGGTTTTCGGATTGACTCTTTTCTGTTGCCATTTGTTGCTAAAACCTGATATAAAAGGCATCATATTACCAGCACAGTAATAATAGAAAATTATTAAACGACATATTGCAATGACTCTGAGTCATCTTAATGTCACACCAAACCAAAGCAATTACAATACAGGGATCTGATTATAAAGGCGTAAAAATCTTAACAAGCCAAAAAAGCAACGCTCCTCAATTAACAAATATGCACATAAATAATTCAGGAAAAAAAAAATGCACATAAATATCTTAAAATTGTTCAAATGCATAATAAGTATTTATTGTGCAACAGGGTGATATTGCCCCAGGAGCACATAATGGCCACACAACCCCAACCTCGCATTTTAAGGTATAAATTGAGAGTGGAGCTAATGGAAATATATATAATCAGATCTCCCACAAACTCAAATTATAACCTTACATACATGTTCACACCAATTTTCACTTTCTTCACACTAAGGCAACAGAAGCACAATGCAGATGTATATATAAATAAATAAAATCAGTATGCCATAATTCCATGAAGACATAAAATATCATTCCCTCACGTAACAAGTACCATGAAATGCAATACCAAATTTTTACAGCCTCGAACTCTAAACTCTCAAGTCATCAAACAATACTAATAAACCACTAGAATGAGCTTCACCCAACTTAAAAACCGAAAAGGAGAATTCATATATTAATATTCTATACACAGACAGTTCATTCAAACATGAGTGACAGATTAGGGGTCAGAAATTCATCCATTGTGTATACAGGAATTGACAGTGACATTGAATAGAAATAAATTGCAGCAAGTTCTGGGGAAAGAGATTTCATGAGATCTCCAAAAACATTTAACACTTTCTCAGACAACTTCCAATTAACAATGATGTATAGAAGGCAAAATCTGGCATTTTAAAAAGCATTTTTCTTTTTTTTTTTCTTTTTTGGAACTTCTAAAGTAAAAATATACAGCAAACCATCACCTTACTGATATTTATATCAGAAAAATGTGTACACACCAAGGTTGTTAGAATCGGGATTCTATGTAGAATCGTTTTGGGCTTTATAGAATCGGAATCGTAGAATCGGATCGTGAATCGTAAGATTCTACCAACTTGTAAAAAAACAATTCAAACTAACTTCTTCAGGAATAATGTGTATAATATAGGAAGAATAAGGCCAAAACACAAAATATATTGTATAAAAGTGTTATTCCAAAGTCAGAATATAATATAAAACAGAAATCAGAATGGAAAAATAATTCCAACCAAAATCACTACCGGTCCACTGCACCAAAACTTCAACGAGGAAGAAAAGTATTAAGCTATTTAGAAGCTCCAGCTTGAATAGAATCCAATTTGGATGGGCATCAGTTACTTTAGAATTAGACTAAAGACACAAAAGTAAATAAGAAAGAGAGAAAAACATATCATAGACCCATGAAGACTCCACTGATCTCTATTTTTTTTCCTGAAATTATTTCACTGTTCTTTTACAATACATGGGGAGTAACATACTAACATCCCAACCCAATGGTCAAGTTCAAGATAGAGTGCTCAATATGATTCCGGACTTCTATCAAACAGATAAAAGTTTCGAAGTTCAAAACTTCAAACATGGTACACCTTGTTTAAACTTCAGAAAGATGTGAGGAGGAGGCAAGGAGCTGTCAAAGGCTTTTGCGAGGTCGAAGAATTGAAGCTGTTGGAGACTCTGGACTTTCGCAAAGAGAAACTGTCTGCCCAAACACGAAGTCTGTTGCGTTCTTTTTTTTTTTTTTTTCATCTTTATATGTAAGAGTTTGGGCCCGAAGTGTGTTGAGCCTTTCTTATTTTGTAGCCCAACCCTCAAATGAAGGAACCAGCCCAAAAAAATACTCCAACAGGCAATTAAGTAGAATCGGTGGAATCGCATAAAATCGTGCGATTCCACCGATTCTATCAAAGGAACGATTTTATTGCAATTTGGATCATTTTTGGGGGTTGGAGTTGTAGAATTGTGTGATTCTACAACTCAAAATCACGATTTTAACAACCATGGTACACACATATATATGCATCCATATAAAAACTATATATATATATGATGATGAAATAAACAAGTTAGAAAAGAACTAAATTAGATTTCTAATTTTTTAAAAAAAATAAATAGTGAATCCTGAAAACAACAAACATATAGAAATATTATTCCAAACATATGAAACATGCATTTAGGGACAAATTCACCCAAAAAAATTAAAATGTAGCTGAGTAAAAAGTCAAATTATTTTTATAATGATTTTATCAAAAATTGAGTTTATATATTTTTTTCTTCTCATGTTATAGTGGTTATTGAATTTTTATGCTATAGTTATATTAACTAATTCTCTAGAGTAGAAAAAAACTAAAAAGTAGGCAATCGGACAGCACCAACAGGGTAAGCTTAAAAGCATTAGCAATTAAAATATTCGTTGTTGGGTGTCTGAGTCTCTGCATAGATTCATTAAATGTTCACACATATGCAGATTTTGCCTGTGAAAATCACTGTTAGCTTAATTTTGTGAAATGTTAGTTGGAAAAAAGAAGTTAAGAAAACAGAGGGAGAAAACAAAGGCTGCTGGGTCTCAGCATATATTCAGTTGGCAAAAGGAAAAAAGAGGGAGAAACCAGAGTTGGCAACCTTGAAACTGATCACGCCCCTCCTACGAGGTTGCTGCCTCAAAGATGAACCCACTGCACACGTATAGACTTCCCATTGTACTTTTATGAATCTAATGAGAGAAATCATCTATCATGTCCACACCTATAGTCACTTCTATACTCGAAGAAATACCTGACCTCGTTTGCTAACCTTGCCTTGGACCAACATGATAGCCCCCAAGTGCACATGGAGTTATCCTATGGAACAGAGTGAATGTGATCAATGATGAATAGAAGAAACCACCATGTCCACATGAACACTGCCTCGTCAACCTTCAACTACAAATAGTTTATGCCCTCTCACAATAAATACATATGAAAACCTGTAAGTTGTACCAAGACAAGAAGTCGCCAAGAGTAAGAACCAACTACTTAACCATATTAAGTCTTATGTGTTAAACCACTTCCATTTCTCTCCCTCCTTTTTGAAGCTGTAATATCAATATCAACTTTACCCTTAGAGAGAACTGTAAAAGAAAATTTCCTGAAATAAGGCCTCTTTTAAACTCAGTACTTAGAAAACTGTCAACCAAACAAATTGATATGGAAATCCTTAAAAAAATATGAATAGATACTTAATCTATTATTAGAGTCTTTTTCTTTTCATTATCCTTAAAATTCCCAAGTGTGAAATCATAAAATTCATACACATAATTGTTAAGTATAGCTTATACTTAAATTTTTTTCCTAGAATAACCTATCTAAAATATTTTGAATTGGATTTTTTTAAAAAAATTGTGCATAACATGATAACTTGAACTGTACTGTCTAGATTCAGGTCAGGGCAGGATGAGCTCAGGAAGGAGTTTTACTTCACGGGATTGGATCGAGATAGGGTTCCCACTCATAATCTCTAAGACAGACCTAACATTTTTTATTATTTTGCAAAAACTAACTACAATTAAATCGAACCAAGTTTGAATGAAATGCCACAATTCACCATAAAAAGAGAAAGAGCACAGCATATCCTTGCAACGATGCCATAAAAGTTTTACCCAAATGGAAAAATAGGATCAAAATTCCAACTTGCCTGCCGCAGTACAAATTGCTCATTCTACTTGCTACCAATTCCAACAAGTAACTAATTCATGTCAAAGGCCACATAAATAATATAGGTACCACTTAATAAAATTCATAACCTCATAAATTAAAATATATTAGGAACCTTTTCAACATATCAATAAACCATTGAGCTGTGCACGTTTCACCAATACCACATAAAAATAAAATAAAAATAAAAATAAAAATAAAAAAGTAATAAAAATAACTAAATGGGCAGCCAAATAATCATTCTCGCAATTGCTCCCTAACTGCTCGATCAAATGTCAAAAAGAGACATTACACAACAGCTTTACATAACCATAATAACGTCCACATAGCATAACCCAAAAAGCTCTCTAAAACTTCTAAATTAACAACAGATGCTAAAACTATATATATTGTCTCAGGGATATTCTCACAGGGATCCAATTCTTCAAGTATCTAATACATACCTTGTGAAACCATCTCACAGACTTACACTTACAGTGATACAAAACAATCAAATACAGTTTGAATTAGAAATTAATCCTAAATAGATCAAAACTGTTCAATTTGATAGCAATTAATCATCAAATTGGACAAGCCACCTGATATTACTCAAAAAAAAAAAAAAAAAAAAAAAAAATCGCCGACTTAGATTAAAGCAATTGTAACTGAGAATTACAAGAAGAAAATCAGCCTATAATTACTCAAAAATAGACAAGACGAACGCAAACAACCATAGACTTACCTCGATCACGATACTACTGAGAATGAAGAGGAAACTGAAAGAAATCTAGAATTCTCTAAATACCTCTTTTAGTTGTCATTTTATTTTATATCGTTTGTTTTTTTTGTTGAATTAAGAAACAGGCTACTTCAGTGTAGAGACGGCTAGGGTTAGGGCCTGAAACTTGGCTTTCTATTGGACACAAATCGAAGGACTTTGACTTTTTAGTAGAAGACCATTGAGATTGTGACACGTAGTGGAACTCTTGTGGGTAATAGAACACTGAATCCTTGCTCTATGGCTTGGGGTGGGGAACAAGTTATACCTTAATTTTTTAATATTAAAGTTTTTCTTTAATACTGTACTTAATCATTTAGTAAAAGTCTCTTAATAAATAATGATTGACTAAACATAACGCATAAATTTCACTTATGTGTGCATCAAACCAATCTTTCACATTTCGGTTTAATTCCATGCCTTCATTAGTTTTAATTTTTTAAGAATTGTTAGAATTGATTCCATGTAATTTCGATTTAACTTAGAACCATATCGGACCATGTGTACCTCTAATAATATTTAGGTTATCTTAAAAAAAAATAATAATGATAATGAAAATTGTAGATATGTCTGGCACACATAAGAACATTTTATATTAGGACTATTTAGGAGTATTATCTGGTTGCATATATTAAAAAATTATAAATAGAACAAAATTATATATATATTTTTTAATGAGGAGAGAAAAAGAAGAAGAAGCTATTATCATAAAAATAATAATAATAATAATAATAAATAAAAATAAAAACAAACAAAACATAACCAAAAGTGTTCAAAGTTGTCTTTCTATTCTTTTATTCACGGGTACTCTATTCATTTGTGAGTTGTGAACATGAAGCGTCCAGTGTCGTATTGTTCAAGCGATTGACTTGCTTCCCTTATTTGAAAGTCTGCATTCAAATCTTGCAATCTTCCCTTTCCTTCAAACAACTAACCACTAACCCCTAGGCTTGCCCAAAAGAAAGAATGAAAGAAAAAAACTCTCTAAGCATTAGCCCCAACATTATTGCTCTAGAAGAAAAAAATAAAAAAGAAACTCTCAAAGAGTAGGTTGAACTATTTGGATTTCAAAATATTTGTTCCTTTATTTAATCAAACTTTTATTTTTTCCTTAAAATTAAGTTCTCTCATAATTTTTTCATTTTTATTTTCTTCTTCTTTGTCGTTTTTTTTTTTTTTTTTTCACTTGTTTTTATTATTATAACTGAACAACTGTAATAAGAATTTTTAATACTATTTTTTTTAATAATTCAAATATATGTATGGGTAAATAGCAATAAACACCCCTATACTACTCTCTCTATATCAAGAAACCCCCCTGAACTAATTAGTACCCCCTAAACTATTTAAAAAATACAATTTAAGGACAAAATTCAAATTCACGGGCACCGGAGCTCGTCGGAAATATTAGATTACAAAATTGCCCTTATTATTTTAGGGCCAAACACCACCTTACGGTCCACATTTTATTTTAGTGCCAAATACCAACCAGACCACTACCCAATTAACTAGAAATCTATCCAAGAAACCACAGCTCCTTCAGCCATTGAGTTCATCCATATTGATGATAAGAAAAACCAAAATTAAAACATATTTATTATCTTATTTTTCAACTTACCACATCTTAATCATATTTTATCTCACCATTATTGGACCCTTTTGCAATATTGCAATATTTGCAATATTTTATCTCATATTTTATCTCACATGTGATCAAGAGAGAGATGCGTTGATGAATTTATTTGTCTGCTTAATTGGAATCGGAATCTTCGGTATCTATATATTATCTTTGTAAATATATATATAAATATAGTGCTTATCTTCATTTTATTAAAAGGAACAAATGTATGTGTTTGGATGAAATTAGAAAAACAGAGTTCTTGGCACACTAACATTTGAAGTCATTTTTTCTGGCAACGGCTGTTAGCCCAAATCAATCACCAAAAATGGTTGGGTGTTATTTATTCCGTCTGATCTTAATATCTTAGAGGACTTGGACTGAAAATGAAAGGCGCAGGATACAAGGACACTCCTGCGCTTGCCTTTTTGCATTGGCTGAACATCTATTATCTGCCAAATTGTCACCAATGTTTTTTACAAAACTATATTGTTAATCACCAACATCCCCATCTTCATCCTTATCAATAACATTCATGCAAGCCTATCCACATACGTATACCGACCCACCACCACCCACCAGCCGACGACCACCACCACCCACCGATAACCAGCTGCAAACCCATCTCCTATGGTGATCCATACACAGACAACCACAGCAGGCGGTGGCGTCGCCACCACCCCCATCACCGCCGACCACCAACCAGCACTGTATGGATTATTTACCTTGGTCCCTAAGAACCCAAAACCAAATCAAATACAAATGTAATTGAAATTCATGTATTTTGCATACTGTATGTAATCTCTTCTAGATATATTCATAGCTTACCTGGGTTTCGGGATTACTTACTCTATCTAAAAATCAGTAGCAGAAACAGAGATTCAAATACTTATTTGGCTTTGATATTTTGATGTTTGGCTTATGAGGTACTATTTGGAAATTAAGTTGATTAAATATAAGGAAAGTGAGTAGAGAGAGAGAGAGAGAGTGGTGAGTTTCGTCTGTGATTGTTGAAAAGTTGCAGAGCATAGAAAGAGATTGCAATTTGCAGAGGATGGAGAGAGAGTGGAGTTGGGGGTTGATGGTTCGATTTGGGCCAATTAGAAAGGGTAGGTTTGTCATTTTCAATTTATAGCATAGGTCAGGTGACTACTTTACGGTAAAAAACTAACGGAATAGTGTCATCTGGTTGTTTTTGGAAAAATTTGGATAGTATAGGGAGTTTTTTGTTAAAAAAATAGTTTGGGGGGGTTTTTTGGGGGAGAGAGTAAAGTATAAGGGGCTTTATTGCACTTTACCCTATATGTATTTATGAAATATTGTGTAACAAATTAGTTAGGCTTGTTTGGTATGCGTTTTATTTTGTTGGATATTGCAATAGTGAACAGTAAAAAAAATACATTTAGTATTATTTTTTTTATTTTGTATAGTGCTAAAACTTTTCGTAAATAGTGGCCAAAAATCAAAACACTAATTTAGTATTTTTATATTTTTCTGCAGTAGCATTTGGTACTGTAACAGGAAGAGTAGTAACCATGTCTTGCAACACTGTTAGACAATAAAAAATTATTTTATCTTCTTTAATGCAATGCCCCCATGAAAGAAATTCCTAACTCCAAGGGCGGCGCCTTTTTTTTCTAGAAAGTGACCATTAATTTTTATTACACATAGGTGAATAATTTATAAAGAAGTGACCACTTAAATAATTATTTATCTTTGGGCTAATTAATTTTTATTGCAAATAGGCCTATAATTTATAAAATTTTACAAAAATACCCACTAAAATAATTATTTTTTAAAAATATCTTTAATCTATCCTTTCTTTTCATTCTTACTCCTCCTCCTCCTCCTCTTCTTCTTCTTCTTCTTCTTCTGCTTCTTCTTCTTCTTTATATTCTCTTAAAAAAAAAAAAAAAAAAATTACATTCCTTTATTCAAACTATTTTTTTTTTTTTTTCCTCTTCAAAGTTTGGTAATTCAATTTGTTGCTAACAGGACTCTTAAGGTGTATTTTATGTTTTTATTTTTTAAAATATTAAATGTTATTATTCCACCATTATTACAGTTTTATTTTTTGACTTATTGTCTTACATTACTATTCGCTTAAAAAAAATATAATTTATTATTTTTAATAAGGCTCCCCTAAAACAAATTCCTGACTCCGCCCCTGTGTGATTCGAATAATTGCTTAAATCAGGTGGCATTAGTTTCATCTCAGATTTTGCTTGTGTTTATTTGAAGATTTTTGTCTTAGATTTTGATATCATTTTTTTTTACTCTTCCGTCCCAAAATAAGTATTCATTTTTTAAACTGATGAAAGGGAATAGAATTTTTTTCTCAAGCAATAGGATGCGCCCAAAGGCCTTCAGTGAGTCAAGATTTATTAATTTAAGTTAATCAATTTGCATTCATAAGCTGTACAACACCGAAAAAGTAATAGAACACGAAAAAGGCCAGAGAGGGCTGCCAAAGCCATAATAAAAATTGCTGCTTCGAGAGTCCCTTCTGAAAATAATGAATTATGAAGGCCATTTTAAATTTCAATTTGTGCCAAAGTAATATTAATTATCATCAAAATGTATAAAAATCATTTAGGGGAATACTTACTTTGTAAAAATGAAAATAAAAATAAAAATAAAAATCAATGCTATTTAATTTAATATTAATGATCATGGCTACCTTAACTTCATAAGATGGTGTTGTGATATATATTTATATTTTTTTAGAACAAGAATGTTAGGGGTTAGTCCGAAATGAAAAGAAAATAACTTTACCCACTTCAATTAAATAGACATTTGTTGTTTTGTGATTAATTTAGCAAGCTTTATTTAGGGTGAAATTATTTTCCAATTATGTCCTTGATCTAATTTTATTGGTGGAAATTGATAAAGGAGTTGTAACTAAGGCTTCGTTTGTTTAGATGTAAAAAAAATTTCATTTTTTTTTTCCCTGGTGTTTGGTTGTCGTAAAATATTTACGAAAAAAAAAAATTAAAATTTTACAAAAATAATTGATCCATCATTTTTTGGTAAGTTATTTTATACGTCCCGCTCAAATGACACAACCTCGACCTAAACCTAGACCTTTGCCAAACACCGAAAAGTACAAAGAAAAAAAATATTTTACCTAAAAAATGAAAATATTTTCTGAAAAAAATATTTTACGTCAAAACAAACGGAGCCTAAATGACAAAAATAAAAAAAAAAATAAAAAATAAATATTAAAACCATGATAATGGACATTAATATATATATATATATATATATATATATATATATATATATATATATATATATGGTTTCAAATTTTTATTCTTAAGTGATGTTTATGAATTTCAAATTTTTATTCTTAAGTGATGTTTATGAATTTGAGTTTTATTCTCATGGTATTAAAAATAATCAAACTATATATATATATATATATATATATATAAACATGAACAATTGTTACATATGCTATAAATTGAGGACCCAACCCTACATTAAG